AAGTTAAATTGAAACTTCTTAGCAATGAACGCACTTGTTGTAATAATAACACTTTTGTATCTGACAACTGCAAAATCGATACAACTTATACGCACAGACATATTTTATACATATACATATTTTATATGCGCACAGAGATTTTAAGGCTCTGGTTAGTACAAAAATCAAGACGAGATCGATATACCCTTACAGCTAAAATAAGGTTTTTAATAATTTACATACAAAACGATGTATGTATATTTACTTAACAATTTACATATTATAACATTTTACAGCAAGTCCTGCTCAATCAGTTATAAAAACTATATAAATGTTGGACTGGTACAAGTTACATCTAAAATCCGGTTCTAGTTCATCTACATTGTACATCTCTCATCACACTTCATATTCCTGTTCCATAAAATCTTCCTCCTCGTCATCCTTATCTACTTCGTCTTCATCTAGGTGGGAAATCTCTGTGAGCATCTCAGACACCTCAGAACAAGCACTGGTCTTAACAAGAGGCACTGACAAGCTATCCATGAGGGGAGTGAGAAAGGTTTTGTTGAAATTAGGCAGTTCATTCATCTGTTGGCCAAATTTTGCCATTGTAAACTCAATTCTGAGAGCCTCGTTGTACAAAAATGCTCTATTTTCCTTGTTCTGTTCTGCCATTTCTATTAGATGTGAGTGCTTTCTTTCCAGCCAATCAGCAACCAACATGAACTCAGTCTCATTCAACGCTATTTCCTCTGCTGCCCTGTCTCTCACACAGACTATATCTATTGCCTGCTTCTTGATGCTGTATGGCACAATACCATTCGTTGGCCTGCCAAGTTCATGCCAAAATGAAAGGCATAATATTTCATCAACTGTGAGTTGTGAAATAGAGCTGGCCTCGTTGTACATCACAATCAAAGATTTGATCTTCGAAAGAACCTTCACCAACTGCCTATTCAATTTCTTGAATATCGCTTGTCCATCTGAAGTCAAGTGAAAAAAAAACTGTTGGAAATTGCATATGCGCAATATTGTTTTTATTTATATTATTTCAACTTTTCTGAATTTGTATAGCAGCATAAGCGTTAGTCTGTATCTGTATCTATTTACAAAACTGACAATATATAATCTTCACCAATCATACTGTAAACGTGTGGTTCGGCTAACGAAAAAGTGCGTACAAGTGTTGACACATATAAACACAAGAAAAACCGAGAGGAGACAGTGCCAATGAAGAGAAAGAAATATATTCATTAAAGAAAGGTGCTAGTGACAGTACAGTAATAACTATAAATCAGTAAAAATAATAACTCTAACAACAATTGTGCAAGGAATTCCAACGTTAAGATAGTGCAATAAGTGTCAATGTTACGACAGTGAAAAGAATTTCCAAATTAAGATAGTATAAAGAAGTTTAAGTAGAGGTAGCAAAACCCTAAGCCAATAGGTACAAGAAGAACCAAAGTGCTAACGCTGAACAAGTCTGACCTTCCAAGAAACACACAATGACATCGACACCCAACCAGCGGCGTAGCTAGGATTTTTTCAGCGGGGGGGCACTGGGGGGGCCTTACATTTTCGTGGGGGGGCACAATATATAATTTTACTTTTCAACTGTTGGAGGTAGCTGAAATGTAGAGGCAACATAATAGTCAAGTATTGGCCTCTGTTATTTTTTATGATTCATGTAAATTGAATCAATACAAAAAAATGATTTAATACAAAACCTATAATATCACTCAACACAATCATATTCATTGTAATGCCTTTATTCTAGACACCAACAGTAAACGCAAACGATTGTCACAGAATACAAATTACATTACAATATACGAACAAAATATAATCTTTAACGTTTAGAAATACAAATTACTGCTAGTACAAGAACGGTAGGTGTCAGCACTATCTAATAGTTCTGACACCTAACCATGCAATGTATGATTGGGTCGAGTATAAATACCAACACAAATTACAAAGAACCTCACTCTTTTCCCAGAGTTACTGCAGAATTATTCTTCTATTCTGGTTCCGCTGTGCGAATTCTTCCACGAAGAGATCTAAGTCCATCTTCTGTACACGTTCGCTCTTGATTGAAAGAACCGCGAGATTGCTTAGTCGGGCATTGCCCATCGAGTTTCTTACAACCGTCTTGATTAATTTCATCGTTGAGAAGCTCCGCTCACACGACGCAGATGTGACAGGCAATACAGCAGCAATTTTGGCCAGCTGATGGATTTCTTGAAACGCCTCTTTGAATGGCTCAATCACGTTAACAAACTGGAATTGTTTCTGGTAGTTCTCTGCCATCTTGCGAGCGTCGTTGAAGAAGGTGCTTAATGGAATGCAGTTCGTGTTTGATGTCTTCTGCGTTTCCGTCGAACAGTTTCGCGAATCCGTTCAGTTCGTTTAATTGTAGAAAACACTCACTTCTTGGGTTGAGTGCCTGAATTGATGTCATCATTTTGCATGTTTCGGTATTGAATCGCCTTCTCAACTCTGCCAGCATTCTGTTAAGAACCTGGCAGTAAAACTCCGTCCTTTGTCCTTTACTGAGTCCTCAAGTTCATCTGTTGATGATATTGATGATCCGGCGAGAGGCTCGAGGAGGGTAGCCTCTTCTAATCTCTTTGGTAGTTTACGCTTCCTCTTTCTACGCGATGGGTCTACGTCCTCAATATCAAAGCCGTGATCTCTCACAATAACCTGGACCTCGTCCCACAGATTGTTGAATGGCTGGGGATCGGACCGCATCTCCTGCAGATCTGCAATCAGAGTCTCTGTCAACTCTGCTGCTTTACCTAGGTCAACATCGGATAACTGAAACATGATGGGCAATCTACTTGTCTCCATAAGTATGCTTGTGATTACTGGAAGCTTCATCAGAAATTCGGCATTGATCTGTCCCAACAGTCCCCTGGCGTCAACCGCCCGGTCAGCATGTGTTTCGTTTCCTATTTCCTCCAGGAGGCGTATGAGTGCTGGGAACCGATCTCTTATCACCCGGCATGCGTCTACTCTGCAGGCCCAGCGTGTGTCGGATAGCCGTTTCAGTTCTCTTGTAGGCTGACCAGGATACATTTCCTTCTGAATCTCTATCCATTTTGAGTGAACATATGATCCACTTACATACACGTAGACTTTTTCTAGCAAGGAGAAGAAGTTAGCTGCATCTGCTATGCCTTTGGTTACATCCACAAGAACCAAGTTCAGCCGATGTGCATGACAATGTACATAGTATGCATACTTGGCTTCCTTCCTAACTCGAGCTGCGACACCGCTTATCTTGCCGCTCATGACAGAGGCTCCGTCGTATCCCTGTCCAACCAGGTTTCGTTGGAAGTCAACTCCATGGCTCTTTAGAATGTCAAAGATCGACTTTGTCAGCGATTCAGCATCCAGCTGAAATGCGGCCCTGAACTCCAAGAAACTCTCTCGAATTTCCCCATCATAGAAGTACCTTATTACAAGAGAAATCTGTTCTTGTTTTGACACATCTTTACTTTCATCAACAAGTATGGAGAATACTCCAGCATCCTTAACTTCCTGTATGATCTCCTTTCGGATGATTTCGGCAAAGGTGAGTATCATTTCGTTTTGAATCTCCGGACTTGTGTACTTCGCATTTTTTGGTCCACTCGCCAGACGTTCTTTGATGATGTCGTCATGGGATGCTACTAATTCAAGAATTTTCAAAACATTCCCAGGGTTGCCAGCTCCAGGTTGTTCTGCGTGTCCACGTTGTGCCAACTTTTGAGTACAAGTTACCAAAATGACCTGTCCGAGAGTTTTAATGAAATGACGATTTTTTTTCACTGCAGTTTGGTATCCTGTGTTCAGCATTTGCGCAACAGAGGTTCCCCCTTCTTGCATCTGAGTGCATTCTTTCCAAGCAACCACAGCATCTTTGTGGTAGTCTGCGTGGGTGTGCTTAGCAAATCCTCCAGATTTCCCGACTGCCTTCTTCCAGTTGGAGTACCCAGTATTCGTGAATGACTTCTCCATATTTCCGGATGGAGATGAGAAGTGCCGACACGCAAAACAGTATACACTGTCTGTACTTTGTGAATATTCCAACCACGGATTTGTATTGAACCATTCTTGACAAAACGATCGTTGTTTGTCTCCATATTGAGTCCGAGGATAACTATGCAGTTTTGGCTGATAAGGTCCATCGGATGGCTTTTTTGAGATGTCATTTGGTCCGGGTACTTCTTTCTCCTCTGCCAGCTGAGGGATGCCTTTATCCATAGAGTCCTTCAAAGTAGAGGGAGCTGCTTCATCTTCATCGCTGTCACTACTGTCACTCAGCTTAGTATCACTGTCATCACTGACATCGTCACGGTCGCAATTGTTTAATAATACATCAGGTGGAACAGACTCAAGTTCTGATTCTCCATTTCCAGTAGTTTCCGGTTGACTCTCTGTAACACTTGTCTTCATGCGGAAATAATCCTTAATCGTTGCCATAATGGCAGATCTTAATTAACACTAGGGCTTGGATGTTTCTTGATCTCGAGGCTCAAGCTCTGAAATAATTTGATACAGGTGCACAAACTCAAGTAAATATGATTATACTTCTTCCCTGAACAAACATGAAAATAAAGGAATAACATGCATGATAACGGAATAAGCCTATTATTGTGTCATTAATGTTTTATTATAAAAGTGACACTATAATAATATTAGCATTGTTATACTAAGAATAATAGGTTCACTATCAATGCAGTAAAATAGTATAGATGTAAATTGAATTATTATTATGATTGAAAATAATAATAATGTAATGAATATTATATTCATTACCCGTTTTCACTTGTTAATGTTATATTATTATCATGATATATATGATGCCCACTGCCCAGCGACAGAGTCAGGCTCAGTCCATCTCCGAGGCTTTCGCTCTCATTAGAACTCGTAGCCTTAAAGGACCAATTCAAGCTTACTCTAGTCTTGCTGTCATCTCTTATTTGCACATCAATTTGCTTTTTAAAAATTCGATGAATAATAAATAAAATGCATCATCTAAAGGGGTTAACAATTTATTTACAGTTAAGTGATTGTGAACTTTGACATAGTAAATTGTGACTTAACCATTCTGGGAAAGTCTCATCCTTTATATACATGTTCAGTCACCATCTCCTACCGGTACTTCCGTCCATATCACACAAATATAATATACACATTATTTGCATGACTACACATTCGCGCGCACATACACTCATTTACACACAATTCAATATTTGCGTAGTCTATATAATAGTCAGCGCATGTGCGACCGGTTAACCAGTTTCATAGACTCGTAACTGCTTAATCTCTCCTCGATTCAATTTGATTGGTAAGCTAGGCACACTGTATAAATATGTGAAATAAATAAATATAAAAAACAACACTCACTCAGATAATCTAGATTAGACACGTCTAGTCCAGGTCTAAATATCAGAGCTGAGTCGAATGAGGGTACTTGCAATATATTGTATTGAGTATTGTGCTCGTCAGTTGCAGTCCTGGTCAGTTGACGTTCCACAGCGTGTGCGCATGCAAAATCCCTCGATCTGCGTCGTATCGGGCGGAAAATATCACACGTGTTTGATATTTTCTTCCACGCGTGGAAGATTGAACAGCGTGTGCGGAGTGGCTGTGTCAATTTTCGCACTCAATTCGCATTGTTCTTGATTGTTAGCTTGGACGCATTGTATTTTTTTCTCAGCTCGCAGCTCGCAGCTCGCATATCAGGCAACTCGCGTAGAGGCATGTCCAAGAACTGATCGATCAACCTTAGTATCTATGTGTGAACGCTCTCTTCAACGACTCTCCGTGTCCAAGCGAACAATCAAGAACAATGCGAATTGAGTGTGGAAATTTACACAGCCACTCCGCAGACGCTGTGCAATCTTCCACACGTGGAAGAAAATATCAAACGCGTGTGATATTTTCCACACGCAAGAAATCGATGCGTTTGCATGCGCACACGCTGTGGAACGTGCTGCGCAGCACGTTCCACAGCGTGTGCGGCTACTAGTATAGTAATTAACGGTACATTAACTTACTAGTATTTCGTAGGTTAATAACTTACTAATTGGCGTACGGTAACGGTTTTCTATATTCATGCAATATATGTTACAACATTTCTGTGTATTATACTATTCTAACGGCATTGTTTTTAATTCAATTTTTTTTTATCAAGCATGAATTTTCCCAGACAAAAGTCGTAAATGTTAAGACTAATTTTTTCTGGCCAACGGGCCCATGGCCTCTAGTAGTTTCAGTCGTAAAGATGCACTCCCACAAAATATGTATCACCAAATACATAAAATTATGTTAATGGTTGTGCATACATAACTTGCTGGATAGAGCCTATTTGTATTGACACAGTGCTCAAGTTAATTTTTGGCGTTGCATGAGTATTACTCAACATTTTTTCATGTATGTTAGTATCGGACCAAGGATCCCTACTGAGTACACTCCTGTTGGTGCAGTACTCATCATATTTTCTTAGTATGAGTACGAGCCAGAATATTAACATATCTGCCTTTACACCGTCAAAATTAGCTTTAAGCAGTTACTGCAACACAAAATCTTCACATAGTGCATTGTACACCACCCAAATACCCTGCGCTCTATTGGGCAGTATCCAAACTCCATGCAGGATTACGCAGGATTAAGTGCCAATTTCTATATTTTGAATCAATGTGATTTAGACCGAGCGATAACCGCGAGTAGATGGAGTCAAGCGTACTGATACATCTGATTTGCCTGTTATTAACTCATGTACGTATTAATATTTAAAACACAGCGAATATCTATATCGCACTACCTTTGAAAATTACATGCGTATAATTGATGAAATTCATGCGATTTACGCAGAATCTGTCGTGCACATGTCGACAGCATATAAAAAATGATGCTGCTGGAATCAGTTTATTCGTTTTTTTGGCTTCAAACTGAAACGCTTTATATTTCGGAACACAAATTCGACACCGAGTATTTGATGTAGCAATATGCTGTGCCGAAGTGTCCAGCCGATTCGCCGAAGAAGGCGCATCGTTAAAGTCATATATTGCTTAGGATATGTTTTTATCCTACCATACAATAAATGTGTTATGAAAAAGATAACACACAGATACTGGCATGATTGAATGCCAACTATAGCTGGCAATTCCAACTGCCAATTCTATTTGAAATGTGGACTAGTATAATTTTGTTTCAGATGGGAAAGCAGTCATTCCATGAATGGTGTGTGCAAAATGGCAAGACTTGCCACCAAAGCGACCTGAGAGCTCAATATTAATGAAAGCAGCGCATGGCGACCGCAGACCAGACCTAGCCAAGCGTCTCATGAGGAAAAGGCCCTGCTAAAGCTGAAGCAGTTACAATGGACAGATGCTACAAAACTGTAAGTAACGATGAACATACATTGAGTAAGACATATTCAGAACAACATTTATAAATTTTTGTGTGGTTATATGACATTATAATAAGTATATCAGGTTTTCTATTTAATTCACAAAATGATCGACGCCAGTGCCGAAATGCCCGAATGAACGCTATGTCAAACAATCTCGTGTTAGTTTAAACTTCATACTTGTGGCTATACGATGATCAGCTGACTAACTAAAGACTCTAAATAAAACAGTAACAATTTAAAAAACTAGCAATTAAACCAAATGGACTAAGAAATAAAGCCACCACGTCAATTTGATCGAAAAAACGTGGCGAACACCGGCCATCTGCATGACACACATGACCTAACGCGATCAGCTAATAACTCTGACGCTAAAAGTCAACAAATTGGCGACGCTTATAAACGAGAAAATGCGCGATTAAGTTCGAAAACCGCCAGCAAAACGAACGAATGGTTGCGCGTTAGTAGTTACCTGGCCTACCGCTGATTGCTCGTCTCATCACGTCACCAATATATGATGTATTTAAATATAGCTGCTGGCCATTCAAGGTGCAGGGACAATGAGAAATGCTCTTGGAAGTTTCACGTGAACAATTGACTCCGATATAATAGTAATAGCGAAATGACGTTGTATACAGAGGGGGCCTCTCGTGTGAGCGCTCGTATAAGAATACAAATGACCAAAGTCGATGAAATTCTTGTAGAAAAACCTGCACAGTATACCATTAAAGTGCCTCCCCTCGAAACTTCAAGTGGCCAAAGCAAATAGAAGCAGGCAAAAAAAATTATTTTTAACATATATTGCACGTTCCGGTACGTGCATGCCTGGCCTATATATGTGTGATGGCGTAAAATACACAAAATACCCAGCCCAAAATCGTTCATTCGAAAGCTTATAGACTACAAGTGAAAGTGTAGGTCTTAATGCTTTCAAACAGAGTTCATTTTGATTGCACTCTGCCGGCGATGTTTGACGCGACGTCTCTAATTTTGCCATGCGGTCGGTGCCAGCGCTTGAAGGTCATGAAGGATGCCAATTATGCTCATAGAATCATATATATATGACATATCGCATATAATGGGTGGTAAATTTGAAGTGTCTCGGCATTAAGGAGTAAGGTGAACATTATTATATTACAATCAATTACCGATCATGGTACTAGGTATATATAGTGACTCATATCTGACAATAAAAAATTGTATCCCATCGCCACGAAGTCGAGGGGATACTATATGGTTTCATGTACTGTTGCCCATCCAAGCTCGGTCCGCGCATTAGAGAATTCGCAAACTTCCGCCCTCATAACTCGGACCCTAAGGAACCTAGCGCTACAAACTTGGACATATACTTACACATTCTTGGGGGAGAGGTGCCGCAGCGTACCAAACCAGGGTCACCTGCTACTATCTTAGACCATTTACTTAAACGTGATCATATTTCCTTCCTCTCTCATAACTCTGGCCCCTAGTTCGACCAACTTAGCGCGACCAAGCTTTGTATACTTACAGATCTTGTGAGAGAACGTGAACTGTCGCGATGACTAAAACCCCTAAGGCAAACCAATTTTAAACATACTTGCCCCACATCTCAGGGCAGAGATGCTATAACAAACACTCTTTGAATTTGTGGACTTATTTAACTTACCTTAATTCTAGCGTCCTTACAGAGATATATTCATTATACTTAGATCACGGAGGAATACTAGTAGTGGCGACAACTGCCCTTTCTAGTTATGTTCTGAAAGTGTACGTAAATATCTATGTTTTCCACATATTCACAGATGAAGGCAAATTAGATGGGCCTGGGTCTGAGACGATATTGATCGAGCACACAGCCTCAGAAAACGCGAAGCACCCTTTCTGTGTTCGCCAGGAAGGGCCTGATACCTTAGAAAGACCAATCCACTCTCTCGTCCAGAGATATGTTTGCATCTAGGAAATATAGGAATCATTAGCTCAAGCACTGTTAATAATGAGCTGTGTTAAAAATATAACGGGATTGTTAACTTAAAGATTTGCAGCGAAGCCTTAAAGTATACTCTTCTCTAGAATTCTGAAGAGTATT